AGTCCTGGGTTGCTGTCTTGTCAGTGAAAAATTAAAAGAGAAGCAGAAAATTTGGAACATGATTAATTTATGCATAACATATCAAACAAAATCTGAACCATTTTATTTTACAGCTTTCTCCTAGATGCCATTGATCGTAGTGACTATCACAATAGAAGTGGACAGAATCAAACTGCCATCTTTATAGTTTGTGAGATACATGCTCTCATTGAGCTACACTCCTTTAACCTAGGGTAGAAGGTTATATGGGCAAAAGCCCCATTTAAAAAAATAACAAATTCAGTTAACCAAATAAAAACTAAAGAAACAGAAAATTTAGGAAAATGACTAATTTATAATTTATACAAAACATACCAAAATCTGTACCATTTTATAACTTTTTCCTTGTTGGCCATATTGCTGACAAAGATATATATAATCATGCAATAATTTTAATCTATAGGTCAGGGGACTGATTGGACAAAAACCAATTTAGTCCCTACCCAAAATTATAAATTGGTTAGTATCAGAGAAACAGAGAATTTAGGAAAATAATTATACAAAACAAACACTATTTTACAGCTTTTCTCTTAACATCAGAGCTAAAGCAGCCTTCTCTAGTCTGGGTGCTGTGAGAGAAGATTAGTAAAACGTCATTGATGATTGATGCAGTCTCGGTAAACTCCAGAGCTATGTATTACCCCTGGAAATTTAGCATCATTGTATCGTCGATCCATCAGGTCAGATTAACCTTGCATACATGAGGAAGATGTGTGAATGACTGTAACATGTTCAAGGTAGCATGCATGCTTCAATGCTTGCCAATTTCTGATAATCAAACATCACATATCGAAATATTTCTTTTTCAATGGTGTGCTGCCTTGGCATTTTCTTGTAATTATTTATTATTATTTAATATTAATATTTGATATTGATTATGAAAAGCAAAACACCAATTATCTTGATGAGAATCTTATAATTACAGCAAGATCTCTCCGCGTTTTGATTTCAATCGATGCAAATTAAAAAAATTACTGGTTAGTTATTAACATGTCTTCTTTAGAAGACTCATGTTATACCATTTTTGAAAAATAAATTTTTTTTCCAAAAAAAAATCGTGTCAATGTGAATTTGAAATTGTGTGAAATCGTTAAAATTTTGGATGTTTGGATATGAAATTTTGATTGGCTAATTTGAATTTCATTTTCAACAAATAACGTTAATAATTATGGGTGTTGTACAAAGATTTTTTTTTTGAAAAAAACAATCTATTTTTCAATGACAAAACGTGAATGAGGTTGTTTGGTATCGTTTGGGTCTGAAGACGTGTTAATGACAGAGATCCTGCTGGGTAATAAGATCCTTATCAACAACAAACGATTGGTATTTTGCTTTGAATAATAATAATAATATTAATGTTACTATAATTAATTCAAGAAGATGTCACTGTTGTAGAAGAAACAATTCAAATAATAAAATTATGTCTTTAAGATTAAAAAATTCTTTGAAAAGAAGAAAAGCAACAAGACCTGGGTAAGTGTTTATCATAATGATGGTGGTGGTGGTGGTGGTTATCGCCACTCATCGTCACTCTAGCTAACCAAATAAAAATTGTCAATTATTTTAAACAATCACCAGACCCAAAATTTTCAGAACAACAAAAATTGTATATGATTTAGTGATCAATAAACGCAAAAACATATTTTTTACTGGTTCTGCAGGAACGGAAAAAGTTTTCTACTATTAAAAATCATCATAGCTCTTAAAAACATTTACAGAGTTGAAAAGGTTGTCGTAACTGCCACAACTGGTATAGCAGCAGTCAACATTACTGGCACAACTTTACACTCTTTTGCAGGCATAGGATTAGGCACCGAATCAACAAAAGAGCTTATTGAAAAAATCAAAAAATCAAAAATACATCATTTTCAATGACAATCTATTGAAGCATTGGTTATTGATGAAGATATAATTGATTTTTTTTAGAAAGTAATAATCATCATTATTTGATTATTTAATTATTTATAATTTATATATAGTCTCAATGCTTGATGGGGACTTGTTTGATAAACTGGAAGCAATTGCACAAGCTATTTGTGATAATGATAGACTGTTTGGTGGAATATTAGTAAGTTATAATGTTAGCATATGTTATATATTGATATTTAATGATTTTTGGAGGTGTTTTTTCAATGCTTATGCAAATATATATTTGTATATTTTATTTATTAGTTGATAGTTGTGGGTGATTTTTTCCAACTACCACCAGTTTCTAAAGATAATAATGTTAAATTTTGTTTGAATCAAACTCATGGACTAAATGTATAAACACATGATACAATTATCAACAGTTTTTAGACAGAAGGAGTCTGGTAAAAGAATAGATATTTATTATTATTAATAATTCATTTATTTGATAAATTGATCTAATTTTTAATTCTAATTCTATAGATTTTATTGATATGTTAAATGAGATTAGATTGGGCATTGTGACTGAAAAAACATTGGAAATCATGAATAGATTAAAGCTTCCACCACAATATCCTAATGATGAAATTCAGGTTACAGAATTGTAAGTTGATCAATATTCATTACAAGGTACTCAAGGATTGATAAAGTTACTATAGTGCAAATCTTGCATTTTTAAGTAAAATTCAAAATAAATTATATATATATATCATGTTAAAGACTATGAACCAAAAGAAATTGGTAAATTAATGACACTTATTAAGGATTGCTTGGTACAAGATAAATTGGAATTAAAACATGATGCACAAGTAATGCTTATTATAAACATCAATAAAGATTTAGTTAATGGGAGTAGAGGTATTATTGTTGGTTTTTATTCAAATGCTACTAAAAAAAGTTATTATAATGGTGAAGATGAGATTGTGAAGTTTGGCCAGAAAGATGAAATAGACAACAAGTAGGTATTTTTGTATTTATATGTATGTGTATGTTTTTTTTATAATATATGTATGTATTTATTATATATTTAATGTAATATTAGATTCCTCTTATACTTGCTTGGGTAATTAGCATTCATAAAAGCCGGGGCCAAACACTGGAAAGAGTCAAAATTGATTTGAAAGAGGTTTTTAAAAAAGTTATTTATATACATATTCATAATAATGATAATATAACTATTATAATAAATTAATAAATTATTATGTTTTTTTGTAAATAGGGCAGGCATATGTTGCATTGTCTTGAGCTAAATCATTGGAATCTTTACAGGTTTTAAACTTCACAAGAAAAAGATAATGGTTGATGAAAGAGTAAAGAGATTTTATGAGTCATTAACAGATCAATGAATTGGACATTAAATGCTTATTTATTTAAAACTTCATATTATTATTTTTATTGATATTGAATTTTTTTATGAGTAATTAACTATTATTTATTACTTTGTTTATTTTCTTAATGTATATATTGGATAATTAATATAATTGAATTTATTCTTTGCACAAGAACAAAAGATTATGATTTTACGTACATAGTCTGCATATCCTATATTAATATTGTGAGATTGAAATCTGCTTCTCAGTGAATCTTAGTATTTTATTTTATTATTTTACTTAAATTTATATGGATGTGATTGAACGCTCCTTGATATTTTAATCTCAGTTGCAATTGCTTTTCTTGTTGATTTTATTAATAGCTCATTGTCTATTAATCCTTGAGAAGGAATTTTATTCCCCCTTCTGGTAATGTTTTCTCAGCAGTTCTTTATTATCAACATGTTTCTAATATATCTGTACTATCTGCCTTGGTGTGCGTTGGGCTTTGTTTTTTTTGTTCATTAGCCTCAGTTCATCAGGCTTTACTCCTTTGTATATTTAGCACAGTTTTGACTGGTCCCCGCCTAGCTTGTGCTCATTGCTAAATATATTTACTAACCTTCCAAGTTTGGAAATGCATGCTAGGATCCAATTTTATATTAGCTAGCTCTTCATTTTCCTCAGTAACATCACTCACCATCTTCAGGAATGTTCACTAAATATGGTAGTTTGGTATGATTTGCTTTCACTTTCAGAATCACTTGAAAGGTCAAATTAATATTAGAATGTTGTAAATGCATTATGACCAACAAAGTTTTTAAGGCCAAAAGTATTAAAAAAAGTTTATTTTTTTGTGATATTAAACCATATGAAAAACAATGAAAAAATAATTAATAAATGGTGATTATCTATCTACCCATCAACAATTCACCCAATTCACCAACTTTAACTTTATCAACTACTTATTATTATTATTACTATTATCACTGTAATTAATTAATAAACAATCATATTTAAATTAATCAATTAATCAACTAACTATTTAGTTTACTTTTTTATCATCTCACATGATCAAGTAACCAGATCTTTCTTTTCAACAAACAAATCTTTACCTATATACTTCATTCCTTCCATTACTATATTTATACTACAGCTGTTGGTCATCTAACGAAATAATTTCCATAACGAAAGACTTGGAAATGAATTATGTTGATTAATTTCATCAGTGGTTTCCAATGATTAGATGATATTTTGAAAGAAAATGAATCTTTTTTCTAAACCATGTGATTCTTTGGTTGTATGAGATGTTCTGCAAGTAGATAGAAATTTACAGAATGTGATTATATAAAAGTAATGTGCGGATATTATTTATAGTTGTTGTTGCAAAGAATATTCAATAATATTTTTGATGATATTTTTTGTGTATTTTGCATTGATTATTTTTCTTGGATACACCAAAAGTTCCTTTAACGAGAGGATTAAAAGTAAATGAGTGAGAAATATAAGTTCCTGATGTAGATGAAATTGCTATTTCAATTTTTAAAACTAGTTTTCATAAAATAAATATTCCATCTTAGAAACCTATGTTTATAAATTGACTATATATAACCTCTCTATAAGTAACTAATTATATTTACTACTATCAACCCGGGCATTTATTTTTTTTTAAATCAACAAACTGATAAATAATGTATAATCCTAATGAAAATCAATGATTACGTCGAGTAAATTTTTTCTTTATCAAAGCTCCAATTCAAATGCTCCAAATTCATTCATAAGCAATTCATATTCAGTAATCAAAAATTGCTTATTTTCAACAAATTCCTGTTCTTTAACGTGGTGCCGTTTTTTCTTTGTTTCCAATTTTATGTTCAAATCTTTAAATAGGTCAAGTATTTTATCAAAGTTTTGAATTTTATTGTTTAAATTGCGATTTAAAGTGGCCAACACAGCTGAACTTACTCCACTTAACTCCATCGCAGCCAAACTTGACATAATCTGAAAAAATTATAGTAATGATTATTAATATTTTAATTTTATTTGTAAATAAGTATTGTTTACGTTAATATGGACAATTACCTGATTTTTTGTATTTGTAAAATATCCATGAATGAGGAGGAGGTTTCGATACAGTGTTGAAAATTCAATCGGGGGTGTCACGTTGCACAAATTATGTGCACGTCTATTTTTTTAATTAAAAAGAATTA